ACTGTGTTAAAAGCCAACTTATGCTAACATAGGATTGATATAGAATTTACTTATCTTTTTAACAGCGGTTTTCAAGACTAGGATGTTGCAGTCTACAGATGTTAAAGTAGCCTACGAAGTTGTCCCTATCTTGGATTAACTCAATGTTTTGCTGAACAATGGGCCCTACCCTTTAAATGCGTAGAACGCAATGTAGGAACCACCCACTTCTTTCCAAAACGAGGAATCTCAAATGCTCTTAAAAGAATATGAAAAATTTTTAACTTTATAATTGGAATGCTAATAGTGAAACAGTCCTCGGAAAAAGCGCACCTCCCCTGAAACGCAATAACAAACGACCAAAAAATATATTGTCTTCCTTTCACTTGTTCTTTCCCTGTGTGTCCATACAATTATCATAACGCTAGTTCGAAATGTTAAGATCACGATCTGTTGCTTAAGAATAACAAATTTTGCTTTGTTCTCATGACCTTCATAGGTTGCTCTTGTAATTATTTCCTGGGGAAAGGACATATGTTTATCACCTCCGGAGACTGGAAACAGTCATACAGGGCAATGTAGGCTCTGCATTCAAGACAATGAGAGTATTCAAGGCAAGCTGCCGGCGCATTTGTGATCGATCGAACGATCGGCCGGCACTCTTTACGACTTCGAGGAAAAAGCCATAAAATCTACAAAAACGACTATACGGATGATGAGAATCATAACGAGCACAGACTCAAGTTGTTTTGTTATTCTTCCTTGCTCCGCTCGATCTCGAATCCAATAAAGTAGTTACCATGCACAGGATGCCTACATAAATACCACTAGCCGACAGAAGACTATGTACAACTGGGTGTGGCGTCACAAGGCGCCACGTGGTGCCATGTGCTTACATTGGAAGCCGGCTCAAGCCACCGGCTTAGAGTTCATATCAGCTTCCTCGTGAAGTTGACTACACTATACAGTTATGTTCCATCTAATTGTAGTTCTATCCTAACCACTACTTCTCCAGATTCCACCTCGTACAGTAACAGTCTCTCATGCCAGGGACCTTTGCCTTTTGATAGAAGTTTGGCCAAGCTTACTTCTGTGCGACCTAGAAAGTCTGATGAGGGTAAAAGATGGAAAATAATTTAGAAAACTTAGCACTGGCAATTTTAACACAGTAAAGATGGTTGAAAATTTCACCCAAAGAACTCGTTTGCGGCTTATCATCTTACCATTTGGTGAGAACAGGTCTCGATCGAATACAGTTATACAGAGTACATCTTGTTCCAGGTTTTTAACTATGAAATTCATCTGCAGGAAAAAAAAGACTGTTTATGCTTAAATCAAACTTGTAAGAGTAACCTTACGATATTAAAGTTAAGTAATTCCTTGTTGTCAAAAACTCGACGATCTGAATACAAGAGTTGCCGATCGTTTGTGAGTAAATGAAACTTTCACCACGCCTTTCACAAACCCGCGATCTTTGCAGTTCAAAACGATTGCGGAAGCACAATAACGACTATCAACGAAACTTGAAAAGAAGAAACAAACAAAATAGATCGAAATCTACCATCACAACCCCCAGACATTAACCCGTTGAAGGAATATAAACTCTAGTTTCCTGAGAGGTCCGCTTAGATGATTGCAAGACGGCAGAGAAACACGAAATCGTTGACAGAGCAGATAGAAGGCGCAGTAAAATGTCTCTTGCTTTGCGAGACTTACCGGAAAGTTCCACTTGGGATTAAGCGTCTGCGGTACAACTTTCGTGCGGTGTTCTTGGCTGCCCATGCTCACTTCACAATAGGGATCACTGAGGCCTGTGCAGAAAGAAACAAACAAACCCCGCATCAACATTTCGCACATAAGGCTTGTCGATTTCCTTTACTTCTAGTTTAAACTCAACTCTATTATTAAGAGAATTGTTTTCACTACAAATGCAAAATCACCGCGGGTTCAACGGGTGATGTAGCAGCCCTCGTAAAGTCTCACACGAATGGCTTACTACCCTTTGAGAGAACAATACAACAAACAACAGAAACAATGCACCTAGCCCTAAAACAATAACAGCTGCTAACAATGAAGAGAATTACAAGCTTACGAGAGCTGCTACAATTCTGGCTTCAACCGATACCATAAACCCATCACAACTTGAAGCAGAAACTTCCAGCGAGAAACAAGAGCGGGAAAGGTCACGCGAGTTATTTCGCAGATTGTTCCCGATGTTTCACTAGGTTGGTTAAGAATAAAAACCTCCGCTTTGATTGGTTGTAGCTTTGGCACGAGGTGTCTGAAGTAATCAAATTTCGAAGAGCTGGTAGCCGGTTGTCCCAGTAACCAAACTCTGCAGAACAGCTGTAGGAGAACCCATGCATTAACATATCCGAGATAAGTGACGCGCCGCGATTGGTTGAAAATATCGCTTTGAAAAGACTTCCTTTGGAAAAGAGATTATGGAAAGTCTTGCGGATTGTCGCCTGAAGCGTTGACTAAGAAAGCACCTCAACAAGGGAAAGCTTGTCAACACGAAGCAAAATACACAGAGCTTAAGCAAACCACGACGACAATGGCAACGAGAGCGCTACCAAGCAAAAGATTAATGAAACAATGGCTGTGAACGTGCGTTATAAATCTCTGTACATTTCTTTGCCGTCCAGTCTGCAAAACAACAACAACGTGAAATGACTAAGTTCTGCGTATTTTGGAGAACGCGAACGACGGCGGCTAATTTTTCGTAGTTTCATTTGGAATTGAACGCTCGCATTACATATTTCAAATGAGCCAGTTCTGAGACCAATAGGAGCATTTAACAGATCTAGACAACTGCACAATTCGACGGTAAAATATAAATTCATTTCTTACTAGGTGTTGTCCTCGGGATCGCCGCCGTCATTGCTTAAGCCCTCTAATAAATACTAGGGAGCCTGCGCAAACCACGACGACGACGACGGCAAAGAAAACGCCACCAAACAAAAGGTTTAATGAGAAAAACAATGGCTGTGTACGTGTGTCATCAAACTTTGTACATTTCTTTGCCTTCTTCTATAAAGCAACAACGTGAAACGACCAAGTTCTGCGTAGTCTGGGGAACGCGAGCAACGGCGGCTAATTTTTCGTATTTCTGTTTGAAATTGAACGCTGTCATTGCATATTTAGCCTGAGCACGATTTCAGAGCCATTGGCGTACTGAACAGATCTAGACAATTGCGAAATTCGAAGGTGAAATAGAAATTCATTTTTGACTAGGGGCCGTCCTCGGCGTCGTCGTCTTCGCTTAAGCTCCCACTTGAACAACGCTCAACTTACGCAACTTCTCCTCCTCCCCGCCCCTCCCCACTAAGGTTCAAAATTTTTTGCAGCCCTCATTGTATTACAGCCAGTTGAGCAAGGCGCAAATTGCAGCCGGATCTTTGCTTAGTTGGGATCAGAAATAAATAATTAAAAAAAAAANCTCACGGGCTCAGGGCCAGTTTACGCAGCCTCAGTCAATAAAAGCAGCCTTTATCAAGAATAGACCCTTTGCCAAATGATACGTTCAAGAACTTATGACTCAGTACTTTTAATTAAGAACAGAGCGCTCAGCGAGGTCTTCTCTAAAAATTACCTTTCCAGATTTTTTTTTGACAAAAAGAAATCTTTGTTCTTTTCTATTAGCTCCCCTATGGACTCATAGCGCGCGCTACTGAATTAGTGAGGTCGCTATTCCCTAAGCAGTTGAAACAGCTACAACCAATCCAGATTACGCTCGTGTCAATTCTTCCGCGCTTGGTACCGTTTTCACGCGCTTAGTCATAGGTTGCACGTTTTCCCGTGCTTGGAACCTGTGATATGTTTTTTGTTTCGAGTTGTGTAAGTGGTGGATTCAAGTCGCTAGATAACCATTCCACAATAGTGGAAAACCTAGCGTTATGTAAAACTCACCATTCGGATCAGAAGCTATTAAGTCCACACCCTCGATCAAGGTGACTTTGAGTTTGCCAATTCCAGTGGTTCGGAAAGATTTTGCTGATGACAAAAAACAAAAAAACAAAAAAAAAACCTGCGTCAGAGAGGCAACATAGCAAAAAAGTTACAGCGTGTTCTAGCCTAAGGGATCAAAGGGGCCTTTCTTTTGTTCCCACAGCATGAAGCCACTAACAGGTACAGGGGGTGCGGGGGGGTATAAACGTCTTGCCACTCCCCTAGATGCTGACCTGATGGTTAGTACATTGGAATCCGGATTTAACAGTCCGGGTTCGAGATCTGATCGGGGTCGGTGTTTTCTTGGGCAAGACTATTTATCCTGGAAGTGTTTGTCTCTATGCAGCTATATAAATGGGTACCGGGATCCCATAAATTCTCCCAGTCGTTTTACGCTACGGAAACAGGGAACAAGCGCCCGCCAGACGGGCGACTAACCTTTACCTTTTCGCAAGTGGGGCAACCATCGAAAAAAAAAAGCTACGTTTGTGAAGAAAAGAAAGAGAAAAAAAAAATCATAACAAACCGAACATCGAATTAACAACATCACACTGACCTCTGTGAGCCTTCTGTCTTAATTCACGCTCTGTTTCAATGTATTTCTGCGATGCTTGCTCCATATACTCCATCCATCGATTTCTAAGAAACAGACGAACACTCAGCTTATCGTTTGGGTACGCTAAAGCGATATGTTACAATATTTAAACTGTTCCCAGCGGTTTTCAATTGAGTGTCGTAAAACCAAAACCAAAACAATTACTCTGGCCAATCACAATGGACACAGGCAATCCAGTGAACCAATCAAAACTCGAAGTAAATACATGAAGTTGTTGCAAAGCGTGGAAAAAAGTGTGCATGCGAGTCACGACTGGTTTTGATTTTTCTTCTGTTTGGATGACAAATTGGCATGAGCATTTTTCTGAAGCCAGTCGTGTTGTGTACTAAAGCAAAACCAAAGCAAACGCGAGTTACTCTCGACATCATGGAGTGAAAACCACTCTAATACTGCTTTGCAGTAATAGCGACAGTTTCAAGCACAAACGGCTCCCGATCTATTAATGAAAATCCCAGGGGGGGGGGGTTTCTCCCTATTATAGCTTAATGGTGAAGCTCCGCCCTAACGGGTTACCTTTTTCAGGCTTCAGGTATATAAAAGGGTAGGGAATTCACAAGTTGGGATATATGAAAAGGTAGGGAAATCTGTCATTTAGTTATTCCAAGAGGGCCTTTAATTAACATATTTCGAACGGACGCGCCTTATGGCTGTATCATTTCATTTATTAAGTACTACATGAAAACGACAAAGGGAAATAGAGCTTGTTCTTGTCGTTGTTAACAAGACGACTTCCAGTTTTGGCGATTTATCCATGATACGGCCAGTTTTGAAAGCATGTGGAAGGGGCACCTTTTTTCAATTAAAAGTATACGAAAGGGGCAAGGGGTTTGACCTCTTGGCGGAGCCTTTCCGTATAGAGTAACCCTCCCCCCCGGATTAAAATACGTTGCAACAAAACATATATAGCATCACACGAGTGACAGGTACCTTTCAGATTTCGATTCTGCTCGAAAGGAGTAAATCTGATCGATGTGCGATAAATGGAAGACGTATTCGTCATCTGAAAGTAAATGAATAAATATAGCGTCAACATTCATGAAATTGAAAACTACGGCGTGTACACAAGCAGGATTTCACGACAAATCCTAGGTCAACTAAAAACTTTCCAGTGAGAACATTTGAAATGTTCAAGTTTTTTTTCTTATCCTAACCAACGCCGGTGGTAGACCTCTTTTTTTTTCTTTTTCTATCAGCGATGCTTCCTAGGACGTAGCGATGCTTCCTAGGATGTCGTGTTTTTGAGATAACGCAATCTATGAATGAATGAATCTAAGAGGTTCAAAAATACTTCTTAAGCACATGAAACCGATGATTAATTCTTTGATTTTGAAGAAAAGCACTCGACAAAACAAAGGCACCAACAAGGCAACGAGGACGACTAACGAAGGCGAGCATGGGAATGGATTGCAAAAATGGACACGTAGCCAAGCCTTAGTAATACAAACGCACTATTGCCATCTTGATTTCTCTTGACAAAGATTTCATTGAGGATGATAGGCTGAAATGAAATCAAAACAAATGTCAAATCAATGCTTGACAACAAGTAAAAGCTACAGGATGACAAAAGCCAGCAGTCAGTGAGAAGGGGGATAATATAGGCGGGAATCTTACTAAAGCGCCACACGAGAGTGAGAGACTCGAGTCTAGACACAACTGAAACAAGACACACAAGGCCTGTACGTCACCAATCTCGTTCCCAGAGGCCGCGATCCTTTTGGTCAGCACCAAGAAATTGAGGCCAGCATTAGTTACAGCGGTTACCCTCTCTACGCATGTTCAGAAACCGTTATTGAACATGAACGCATGCGTACAATCAAACTGGAACCATGATTTTCTGGTTCAGGTTTTTGATTTAGTCCAGAGCATCGGGCGTTCGATCCCAACGCCGACGGCGCGACCTCTGGGGACGAGATTGGCACGTCAACGGAGGCGACCGAAATGCCCACGCGCCTTACCTTTCTGTAGATGTCATAGATGACTTCCTGTTCATTAAATCCAATCTTCTTGGACAGATTTCCGGTAATGGAGCTTCGCGGTCGCGTTAACATAAGGAAATCATTGAACAGAAAAGCTTTGAGCTCCTTTCCACTCTTAACCTGAAATGAACAAAAGCCGAGAACGAATTCAAAATGACGGGAATTGAAGGCCTATCTTTCATTGCAGTCCATAATTTACAGTTAAAGGAAGATAAAGTCGTTCTTGGCAACAAAGCCCACACTGCCGGTTTACAACTCAGTTTTCGCAGCAACGTGAGTAGCATACTCCCTTCGTGGATGGGATTGTAGGTTAGTCCCCCGTATTGTTAGGTTTCCCTATATACGAGATCTCCGCAACTTGTTTATACACCCTGGAGAGAGATAGGAGGCACTGTAAGAGTACAGTTTCTTTCCCAACATCCAGAGACCAGCGTGCTAGCCACTAGGCTAGCGTGTCTCCCACACTCATAATTCACGACACAGATTGCACTGATAGCGAACGAAATTATATAATAATCCTAGGACGACGTCTGTAACAAACGCAAGCTTGATTTCTCCCCTTTTGAGACACATTCGCTTCGCAATCAACATAAAAAGGACTGAAATAGCTCTAAACTTACATTACGCACGTCGCATTCGGTTGAGTATTTATACCCAAGCGGGTTGAGGTANGCAGGGTAGAGAATAGATTAAGTACAAAAAAAAACAAAACAAAAAGGAAGTAGATGGATACACCTGAGTGGCCGGTGGACCTTATGTTTAGAGCGTCGTTCAAGGGGTATGGGATCTAGTCCCGGGCCCCTGGCCGAGTTTGTTGTTTTGTTTTCTTGGGTAACAAAACTTTTTACTGACTGACCTCCCAGTACCTTTCTCCACTGAGGAGAATAAATAGGAACCTGGGGTAACCTAACTTCATCTTCCACGCTGGCTACGACACCCCCCCTACACCCCCCGCCCACCATCCCGAAAAACAAACAAACAAACAAAAACAAAATGAAAAATCATAATAAAGCACTTTTCACTTGAGTCTCGAAGATAATTCGCATTTGCATTTGTTTTGTATTACAGTACTAAGCGACTCGAGCCACTTTGTCACCCAAACACAAGTAAAACCAAAACCAATCGTGACTCGCTCGCAAACGTTTTCCCGCGCTTCGCGCAGAATGCGCTGCCGAATACATGTATTTGCTTCGAGTTGTGAGTGGTTCACTGTATTGTCCCTGTCCTTTGTGATTGGCAAGAGTCATTACTTTGGTTTTGGTTTTACGACACCCAATTGTAAACCACTCTAAAGACTTCCTTGAAACCGTGTTAAAATAAACTCGGAAAAATGGAATAGGAGACGGCATCGGGTCTTCGGCAATGGAACAAGAGAGTCGAAAAGAGAAAGCTAACGCACTCATTCATTATTTTACCTGTCTTTGCCGCTCCGTTGTCGACATCGACGCTAAAATCTTTGCATCAAACGCTCCCGTCCCTAGAGACAAAATTCCATACCACTCAATACTCTGGTTAGACTGGTCCATAGGATACGAACCGAGTATTTTTTCCGTCAATTTATTATATTCATGACCCAAGATCGAAAATAAATAAATAAATAAATATAAAGGAGGAAAAAATAGGGTCTGTATCTTACGAATTTTTGTTGCATCTTTCGCTCTACAGAAAAGGAAACACTGTAAATAAAACGCGCGGGAAGTAAAGAATATTTAGACAAACCCGTATTCGGAAGTTGGAAAATCAAAATGAAGGTCGACGCTATCCCAGGATCAGCTAAATCGTGCCTTGAACATCCGGGCCCCGGAATAATAAGTTAAACTTAACAAGGACTGTACAAAATAGCAAAAAGGTTTCATACGTTCTACTGTTTATATCTCAATTTTTACATAAAGATGCACCAAATTTAGATTAAATTGTATAATCGATTGACTACGAGTCGCGTAGTCCCTCAAGCGAGGGAGCTAAGGAAGGGGGAACAAAAATCACCGGCGAACGCGAAGATCTCGACCCCTAATATTAGAACGGCCAACTTTTGTTTTCGCTTCTTTTCGCTTGCCGCTCGTCGACGAGCTACGCGAAAAGAGTGGCAGTTTGTTGGCTTTACAGAATTAAAAGAACTTGTAACCGACGATTACGTACCATGAGTAGCACAATGTTTGTTTTGATTGTGTCCTCCTTGCTTAACAACGATCTTTTTCTTCGGACGAAACTGGTTTTTCAGGTTTCGCAAGCTCTTGTGACAAGCTTTTGCCACACGCTTCTGAATCCGCAGAGGAGATTCCCCGAGGATGAACCCCATCACGTGAAATAACGCTAAATAACGTGCTGTACTATATGTACGACTCAACAGATCTCAAAACTGCGCGAACTCTCGAACGCTGAAGCCTTGCTCGAAACAGTAAATGACTTATTTTCGAGTCAAAACGTTTATATGGTTAAAAATAGGACTGAGTCATAAGTTCCACGTGTAAATATCCAACGTAGGTCAGTCGATAATATTTTAATCTCACCAGAAACTAATTTGCATTTTGTTTTCAATTGACTTGAAACTGAAGTATTACCAGAGATGGCGATTTAAATCATCGAGCAAGAGAATTTTTTTAGACTTTCCATTTACTGAAATGTGCTTTCAGTTTTTTGTTTTTTTTTCATCAAGTTGTTTAGGCCTCGTGGTAACTGTCTCCCGCGCAAAACACTCTCGTTTCGCAAATGTTTTCGCAAATGCAACCACCAGTCATTATTGCATCATTCAAGTTGCGGTGCTTTTAAGCCAAAAATAGTCGAGTGTTGATATTGCCGACATACCATTAACTTGGATTATTTAAAATATCAAACAACGAGGAAAAAAAAATACTTTGTTACAATAATATAAAGTCAAAGTTAAAAAGAACGCTCCGTTGAAAACACAATTTAATAGACGGGTTATCGAGCGAGGAGCCCGCGTCGCACTCCTTACTTATTATCATTAATTTCTCTCCAGCCGTCTTTTGCTCTGCTCCTCAGCGAGCAGGCTAACTCCGTGCGAAGGACTGGTCCTCGAGCGCTTATTCTTGAATATCGCCGTTAGTAACCGATATTAAACTTTTCAATTTCCCTTTTCTCCCTTTGACGTCAAGATTCATGGACGACTTTGGGGGTTTTTACGTGAATATTGCTCCCGATCAAGAAGGCTAGAACTCTTCACAGACAGACAAATTGTGAGTTGTGGTGGGTGGGGGGGAGGGAGGGGGAAGGGTAGGAAGCACGGGTTCCTTCCGGATCGCCGAAAACGTAGCCGACTGGCAATCGAGACTACATCAAGAAGCGCCTAACAAGAACTCTGAAAGGCACTTGGACGTCAAAACATTCTCTCTGTCCAAATCGTAACTATCCGTGCTGTGTTTTGATTCCATGTTAATTTACCTCGGTTGCTACATCTCTGCGACCAAATATTTTGCGGATCCCTTCAGTAATATCCCGGTAATAATTGTAAAACGCAAAAATACTAAATATTGTGGAATAGCTTCTTCAGTATATGGCATAGACTGCAGCTGTGTGGGGTGGGGATAGGGGTGTGGGTAGGGGGTAGGGTAGGGAATGACGGAAATTGATACAAAGGATCCAGGAGCCCTACACCTCTCTCATGGTCCCAGAGGTTTTCATTCTTCTTAAGCGACGTCACGACGGTCTTCGAAACTCGTTATCGCCGCTTCACAGCTTACATTTCACTGAGAAATGGAAAAAAGAAAACCTTCGGAACTAGACATGAACCGGATCCTTTCACAAACACAGGAGGCTGAGGTGAACAAAAATGCTTTGGGAATTTAAATGAAACGTGACAAAAACAACACAGTATGAGCGTCAAACTTAAACAGTTTATTACTCCATCCTGCAGTCACTACAATGAGCCCTTGTTACATTTGATTATTAATTCATTTCTTGAAATGGCAACAAAGGTCCATATAAGAACAACACACCAAATTTACAGTATAAATCAAAATTTCTGGAGAAATATTAACGACTGAATGATCCAGCCAATTGTTGAAAATAAGGTCCCCTAACTAAGTTAATGATAAAATTACCTACTTATTCTGTTTCTGAATTTTCCTTCGTTTCAAAAATAATTTTCGCGAATATTTTTTCTTTTACATCTAGTGTTAATATAGCGAAGAAGACGCGACACCTAATATCGTTTGCATGGCTATGATGCGCAATCTTTTTTTCTTTGTCAACTTTTGCCTATTATGATTATTACTTTATTATCCTTTTAATTTTATTCATAAGTGAACAAAACGTGTTAAAACTTATCAAATCCAACAAACTTAAATAGACTTTATCGACCAGGATAATGTCCTTAGCGACGAAAATGAAAAACGCAAACGTTACATGGAAAACCTAAATCTTTGATGGTACTAATTTTTTCCGGTGACCAACATATCTAAGACATTTCACAAAACCCATAAATAAAATCAAGATTACTAATAATTTTATTTTTGAGCATTAGCCACTCTAAAGCGTTAAAATCTAATGTGGCTTTAACTAGCCTGAAGCTACATCTTTTAATAGATACATGAATTAAATTCATCAAGATAAACATAAATCCCAAAGCATTTCTGTCACCCTCATGTCCTGAAGACGTTTGTTACGTCCTGTAGAAAAATACACAACATGCAGTTTAGGCAGAGTTACAGTCAGCACTGCGAACACTGTATGGCAAGACGTATCGTTTTGTTGAAAGGGGAAATGATTCTTGAACTGGTGATCTTCATTTTCAGAAGGTGGAGGTCGGTCCGTTTTCATATGTGCTACGTAACTGGGCTTATCTTTGCCCTCAATGAATTGGTCCCACCGACGTCACGATGATCAACAACATTAGAAATATACGAGGCGCTGTTGAGGAATCAGTGGATGAACGAGATTCTTGCCATGATAAAGGATCTTTTAATACGTAAGAAGAGTACAACATGACAGTGACTACCACTTGTAGCTACCAGTAAATAACCAACCAAAGCTCAATTTGTAATCCAAAGGTTCTCCAATTACGCAACATGCACAACGTAATGGATAGGCTTGTACGGACAGACAGAGAGGTTCTTTCGACTTAGGCAATCGTAATCAAAACGAGCACGTGACCACGTTTTGACACATGTCAGTTTCGCCAATACAATAAAAAGAAATTAAATTTATAAAGCGCTATGATTATAAAAATATTCCAAAACGCTTAACGCAATGCTTGTTTAAAGACTTAATCTCAAGAGCTAAGCCTGCAAAACATTTTCATTGTTCCTGCCATGCAACATGGCTGCTTATTTCAGAGATCAACTGAATGCTCGTTATCCTATGGAGTATTTACACGCAACGTCACGGCAGCCATGTAGGGAACTTGAGCAAACCACGACGGCAACGGCAAAGAGTACGCCACCAAACAAAAGATTTAATGTACAGAACAATGGCTGTGCACGTGCGTTATAAACCTTTGTACATTTCTAAGCCGTCCCCTGCAAAACAACACCGTGAAATGACCAAGATTTCCGTATGTTGAAAAACGTGAACCACGAGGGCTAATTTTTCGTATTTTCTTCTAGAATTGATCGCTGGCGTTACATCTAGTTTCAGTAGGGTTTTAGACCGCTCGGCTCATCGAACAGTTCTGGATTGTTGCGAAATTCAAAGGTAACATTTAAGACCATTTTTTCCAGCCGTCGTCCTTGGCGTCGCCGTCATTGCTTAAGCTCATTACTGTTTCAAGATAATGAAATGGACATGTTGGTGTACCAATCCTGTGGGAGTTCAACTCTTTTCTTATGTATGAAAACACTTTCTGTTGTTCCAATAAATTTACATGGCTGCTTGCCACGTAAGGGAAAACGCTCACTAAAAGCAAGACAAACGAGTCGGGGGAGGAAGCGCCGTGTTTGAAAGAGCCGTCGTGTTGCTTAGCAACATCTAAAGACAACCGCCGGCTCATTCAATTTCCGTTTCAAACCGGAAGTAGTACTTACTCCCCCGACCAAGCGTCGTAAAGTTGAGTTCGTACATGTATACTTACATTGTGTTGTGCCCATTTGCAGGTTACTGAGCGGCTGGACGTAATTAGACGGAAACATGCCCGTCTGGCCGTTCATTTCGCCTTTCCACCACTCTCCATCCTTGCTCACCACGTTTATAACGCTTCCCTTGTAGAAGGTGAGTTCGTCTGCATTCTGTGCAGTGTACGGGAACATGGCTAATACCTGCTCCAGTTTGGCTGAAGAAAAACAAGAAGACACTGGTGGTTACACACGAAAGTCTGCCGATAGGACAATTCACAGACACAGGGCAGGGATCACACTCGTTCACTGTTACAGGAGTGTGTATAATTTCATCACATATACAGCTTTAGAATTCCATCAAAAGAGCAAGACAACTAAAACAACCTTCGCCACAAGCGATTTTTCCAAACTTCGTTGTGTGTTCCAAGATGACTGTTTGGTCAACTTTCAAAGCAGGAGAAAATCGCAGTTATTTTCACACGTTAAAAGACCATCGTATTCAATAGATACTCACACACTTTTTATTTCAAGAGAAGTTAAAAAAATTAACAAAATTGTTAACTGATCCGCTGGTAGCTAGGCGGATCAGTTATTATCAGATTACTTAAAAGAGACTGTGAAAAGCCTAGTCCAAGACGAAACTGCAGTACTTGGTCGCAGCTGGACGGCCAGTGAAGCAGTGAGAAGGTACGACTCCTCTCATCTCTCACCTTCCCCCTTTCTTCCCCAACTACAAAATGTTATGATCCAGAAACTGTAGATACATCAATTACTTGCTAAGAAAATCACAGGAGCCCTGGCCTCGTTACATTTTCTCGTGAGCATTCCTCGTATCGAACAGAACGTCGCGATACCATATTTTTCAACCGTAAGCAACCCTAAAATGATCAAAATTCTACAAACACACCTCTTGACACTGAAGGGGGAACACTATAAACCTAGAAGGTAAACAAAAGTATAACATCAGTTTCATCAAATGGACGTACCGTTTAAATGCTCACTTTGAAGAATTACATTACCGCTAACAAGACGAGTCTCATTTCTCGCGGTAAGTCACGCTTTTCACAAGGCGCATTTCGTTTCTGACGAGAAGAACCTACACTGTAGTTTCTCTCTCTCGTCTGTAAAATTGGCTGAACAGCTACTTACATCTTCCGTAACGGGAGAAGCTGGTGATGTTTTCCTGTCCAAGATTTTCACGTGACTGCCTGGAAACAATCCGCTCTGACGCTTCTTACCACGGGCCTACAGAAACAAAGTAATCTCGGTTAGATCACATAGATGTTTACAAACATTTGCCACACAGTACAATGACGTTTCAATGTGCGCACCTGTAACTCGCCTTCCCACCATCCATCTGGGTGTTTTCTCTTCACCAAGATCAGCTGACCAGGCGACAGAGACAACTGTTCCGCGGACACTGCATTGTACGCTGTCGTCACGGTGGCGATTTCTACAATCACAAAAAATGCTTTTTAGATTTATACCACACACTACATGCCATAAATACTGAATTGCGACCGCATAATTTTATCTAGTTAACATTTCCCCCCGCCCCCTTCAACTCCCGAGCGATTGGTTTACACACCTTACGCGACGCAATATCATACAGCTATAGCTGGGGGTGTATCCAAGGATATTCCCCAGTTTTCAAATCCCGTGTTTCAGATTTTCGCAAGTGCTTTTAACAGACTAGAAACAGTTTTAAACGCAACAAATTTTAACACTGCCGAGATGTCCCAAACAGATAGATAAAAGAAGGGACCATCCCTAGGGTAAAGAGTTGCATGTATCACCGCTATCCTTATATCTTTAGACAGCCAAAAAGAAAGTAAATAAACTAATCAGCTCATGAATCAGAAATGCAACCTTTCCCCTGACTTTTTTACCTGGTTTCGTGCGAGGAGCAGCTTTGGGAACCTGAAAATAAAACAAACTTGTCAGTGAGTTGACAAAGATGCACACACTAGAGGTGTCTCTCTTATTACATACATATGCTGTATTGATGTTAGACTATAGGGATACATGTATCAGTGTCATACAGTTACCTCTGTATCCTTTTTCTTAACATAGTTGGCAGGGAACAGGCCCTGTTCTCCTCTACAGCTGCCTTCCCACCACTCCCCTTCGTCCTTGTGAACCTTGATGACATCACCTTCTGAAAAGCTCAGGTCACCAACTTCACCAGTGTAACTGTACAGCGCCACACACTCTGAAAATCAAACGGATATCCAGAACGTTTACTGTACACATCACTTAGTATCAAGATCTTATTAAAAACGCGTTTATTATTTCTTTATCCCATACCCACAACATGCTGAAGATTTCATCTTTCGCATTTAACCGTTACTCACCGTTATTCATCATTATTCATATCCACTCAGGACACTCTTAGTCTACTTCACACCCATTATTTGGGTTGTGACTGTCTTAACGCGACACTTCTAGTGAGAACGTTGCGTGACACCCAACAACTGTAACAGCTGTGAAGGAGACTAGGACGCTCTTGACATTGATCCAAGCTGAAGCAGTATGCAGGACGTATGTCGCATGAACCTTGTAAGGACCTACGAATCTCTCGGTAGCTCAGTGGTTTAAGCGCCCGACTGGTATCCGAGAGATTATGGGTTTGAATCCTGTCAGGGACTCAGATGTTCTCTCACTCCCACTGTCACGACATTCCGAAAATTTTCTTTGGGATTGATTTAAAGAGGCTTAAAGCAGTCTCGCTGTCGCCCTTTAAATGCACTTCATGTAGCTCAATTCTGTTAGATTATCTAAAACGTTTAACCTCAAGACTTACCAAACAGGGTTGTTGTTGCTGGGCTTGGCTTTAGCTCTGTGGAAGGGATTGGTGCTGGGGCCTTAACTGACTGCTCTTTAGCTGCTGTGCCATTTGTCCTTTAATAAAAATACAAACAAACTCTTTCAACCTTACCTGTGATCAGAATTTTATCCATGTATCTTATTAAAATATTGATACAAAGTTAAGTAAACAGGTCATGAGACTTAAGGAACCAATCACAGAGATCAATTTTCTATTCTACCCTCTAAGAACTTACTGAATGAAGATCAGTATATGAGAAGTTTTTTTGTTCACACCAGGACTTAACAGGATTACCCAGTAAACAGAAGCTTAGTTTACCAAGGGGGTAGGTATTAAACAACACAGAGACTGATCCAGAGATGCTCAGTATTGCTCAGGGTGAGGGGATGAAGATTAAGATGCATTATATTTACTCCAGTAAGGCAGGCAGGTGGGGAATAAATTTTCACACCTTCAGGCATTATAGTTTCTAGGAAGGGAAGGTTTCACTTTACAGTACCACCACTAGTACTTCCTGAATTCAAAAACAATGACTACATGTAACATTGAACTAAAACTATAGCTATCAACTCAAATACATGTACATCTATGTAGCACAATTTTAACAACTCCAACCAAAAAATTCCTCACTACAGTTTGACTTACTCTGCAGGTTTACCAGCTCCACTAAGCCCACCAAGAAGTTTAACATAGGACTTAGGAAACCAGCCTACATTGCCATTGAGTTCTCCAGACCACCACATGTCCTGTTGCTCCTTCACAATAATCACGTCATTCTTGCTGAACGTAAGGTGGTCATCTTTTTTCGCTAAGTAGGGATACAGTGCCATGACTCTGAAACCTTCTGTTGACTGCTGACTGTTTGAAGGCTTAAGGGCCTACAACAAAAATCAAATATCAAACAGGGCTGTCAATAAGGGCCATAAAACACTTTCTACGGCAGAGTATGTTTGACGGACTCTTGATGATAAGGGTAAACTAAACACCAAAAACATGAACTAAGACTTGCCCAGGGCAAGCAAAATTTGACAGCTCTCTCTTCTACACTTAAACATCGTGTTTTAAATTTCTCTCAAATTAATCCTCTAACCTCCGTGGTAACATTTGTGCTTGGTAGGGCAGAATTCTCGCTGACTGCTACAGTTGGACCAATTGAACCACCCGCAGCAAATTGCATGCTGAGTGCTGCTGCAAGAGACTTCACTGTAGATGAGCTGCTTTCTGGAGGAGAAACGCTGATACCATCTTTTTGAGATTTTGCTTCTTCCTCTGTAATTCTTTCCACATAATTTGCTGGAAACAAACCTTTCTTGCCATTTGATTCACCCAAAAGCCAACCAGGTGGGGCTTTCTTAGCGTCTGGGTCAATCTGAACAGAGAACAAAAGTAGAGCTGGATTTGATTTCATATTTTAATTATGCTGGAGCTCCAAATAAAAATAGAGAGAATAGGAAAGAAAATAAATCATACATGTAATTTAAGTGATAAAAAACGAGGCAAACATACAGAACAAACCATGATCATGTTTTTAGTGAGTAACTTATCATAACTTAAACACTTCTGCTCTGATGAAGGTTAATGCATGAAATGTCAACATTACAAACTTGCTGCAGCATTTATTTGTCTGTAAGTAGGCATGCAGATTGTGGTATCCCTGTATTGCAAAAAACTAAAATACAAATAATCTCACCACAACAATGTCTCCTTCTTCAAGTGCCATCTCATCAGGATTCCTGGGATCAAATTCATACAGCGTTTTGTAGTACTCCATCTTTGCAACTGGTTTTGTAACTGGTTTTGCCACTGGTTTAAAGAAATCTGAATGTTAAAGAAGAGAGATTCACTGTCAGGGGTTAAATTTGCAAACTTTGTAACACTTCACATGGCTGTCAAAAGGTGTCTAGTACATGTAAATGCAAAACAAATACAATGTACAGGTGTAGATGCTCACACTGATTTATAACAAGAAACATTGATCAAAAAGTAGTAATAACCAAGTAAATGTTTTATAATTTTTTTTTTAACAAATGCTACAATTGGTCAGTAAGAGTTGAAATAACAGCACCATTGAGTTAATGTACGTTTTGAGCCCATACATGCAATTGTTTAAAGATTGGTTTCCACTATGACCTAAGCACTAGCACCAACGACAGCAACAGCATGTTAAAGCACAATGGTAGAAGTAAGGATGCTCACAACACAAGTAATAAGCACAAGTTATAAGCACAAGTAATAAAAACACTCATCATTAGCACGTCACCATACTTGTGGAAGTTGGCTTAACATCTGTGGATTGCTCCTTTATCATTTGCTGCATCTGTAAAACTTTCTGCTTCACATCACCACCAGACATACTACTGCTGCTAAGAGATGTGCTACTGCTGCTGACAGTGGTCTGTTCACTGCTGATGTGTCGTACAACTGGTGCACCACTTGATACCAACATCTGCTGTTGCTGGACCAGTATCTTGTCTTTTGTTATAAGCTGCTGTTTCTTCAACTCTTCCTGTCGCCTAGCCTCTTCAGCTTGCTTAGCTTCATTGAGGCGTCTGCGCATTTCTTGCTCTTTTCTCTGTTTTTCCTGCTCTTGACGCATAGCTAGATGGAAGAGGACATTATGGGTGAGAAAGATACACATCTGCCAGTGCATTTAACTACAGTAGAATTCCAATTTTTAAAACCTCCATAGGCAACAAAATTGGTTTGAAAAATTGGGTGGTTCAAAAAATTGGGGATAAAATTACAGTATTTGATTGACGGAAGGGAAACATCTTTTGGTTTGAGTCATCAGGAGGTTGAAAAGTTGAGGGTTCAAGAAATCGGGATTTCACTGTACATGAACAATGTACATGTAAGTTTACAGGCCCTGTTGTAGGTACATGATGACACTTTTTATCAAAATTTGAATCATTTAATGAATAAGAATACCGTAACATGTGAAATGATGGAGGATATCAAGTGAGAAGAGACAGAGAGATGTTGCTGACAGTATTGACAGCTCTCAAGAAATACCTTATGACAAAAACCTGACTCTAAATGTCCAATATCCAGAGTTGTCTGAGTACACTGAATTTACCCACCTTCTAACTCTCTTTCTTTTTGTTTCCTTACTTCATCCTCTTCTCGTTTCCGTTTGGCCTCCAATTCTTTCCGTTGTCTTTCCTCCTCATCCTTTCGCTGCTTCCAAACTGTGTATTCTCTCTGCTTTGCTTCTGAAATTTGCTGTAATCTGGCATTTTGGCCGGTCAATTGCTGAGCACTTGTTGCAAGGTCCTGTATGGAAAAAAGTATCTGGACTTACATAAAAATCCTTTGCTAACACAAAATATCAATCACAATTTGACACCCTAAACACCCTCAACAAGTAAAATGCCAGATCTGCCCCTTTCGACATGTATAGGTTTGGAGAGTGCTTAGAGATAGTAAAAATCTTGTGCATTGTCAGGTATACACTTCAGGGTTAGGGGTTTGAGATGCTGATTTTTCTGCATAATTATTCTCTCACTACTGGTAATCCCTCTACACTATACACATAGATGTACACATGTAAATGTTAATTACAACTATTCCTGTCCAGCTTCTGTCTGTATATCAGCAAGATTTCACAAGATTTCTCTGCAAAATTCAAACCCAGGCAAATCAGGCGGAAATGGCCATGTTGTCTACTCAACTTTAATCAGGGTTGTCACTTAATGCTAGCTACTGGCAGAATTCACTGGCTAAGAAAGAGGTGACAGCCGGCTGGATTTTGGTGGGCGATCACGTAAAGGACAATGAACAGTTGTTAGGTTACGCTCGTACAATCATTCAATATCTGAACCATATCAAGCTGTCTAAATGAAAAGTTTGGAATAAAGTCCTGACTACCTTGAGTATCAGTGCCACCATAACAAGTAAAGTAATTGAAATAAAATCTTGTTTCGAGCACTTGTTTAGCCTGCTCTCTTTCTGTGTCCTGTGTCGGCCATCTTGTGAACACAAAGTTTGGTAGCCCCGCATTCAAGGTGTAGCGAAAGATTGGGGACAAAAATTTTGTTCCAGGTCTAAATCTCTCGCAAAAAATGGTGACCAGCTCAATGAAAATCTTAGCTGGGAGACTATTTTCTTAGCTACAACCCTGTTTACCACAAGTGCATCTAACATCATTCTTTTGCCTGCAGGGTTGACATGGTTCAAAAGTGCTGTCCAGTCGTCTGGACGAGAAGATTCTCCTGCTGGGCAAGTAACTTTTTGTTCTCACTTGTCCAATGGGCAAGAGCTCTCAGGCTTACTCCCACTAAATAAAAAATACTGAAGTAGGACTTGCCCAGGATAAGCAAAATCTGAGAGCTGCTTGTTTGAGGGGTAAGCTGGAATTCAAGTTTTATTCAAGCCCTGATTAACCTCTCCACCTCTTAATGTACACTAAAATTAATGGTGTATGCATGCCTGGTTTTGGAGTGAATTACACTAGCTGGTCATTAACAGGAACTTAAAACTAAAAGAACTTTAAAAAAACACTCAAAACTTTGTTTACATACCTTAACTTGCGTATTCATAGTATCTAGCTCCTTGAACTTTTCAGCCAGAACCCTCTCCATATTGTTCTGTAAGGTTTGCAATCTTCTAAAGTTTCCTCTTGAGTCCTGAACACTGGCCATCACATTGCCATGAGTGTCTCCTGATTAATTTAAAATATATGTATGTAACAAAGTTGTGTTTTTTACCACATCAAATAGACTGCAGTGTATAAGAAAATAAACTACAAATAAACTGAGGCACTAACCATGCACAGGGGTTAGAGAAGTTAATTTGAAAGAAATAGTTAACAAGGAAAAGGAAAAAACAACAGCGAAAATGCCACAAATGAAGTGGAGGATTTGCTTTTAAAGGTCATTACTCACTGGCTGTACATTATTTTCCTCTCACAGTTGAAGCCAGGTTATATGGAGAGTAGAAGATATGTGATATGTAGCAATGCAAATATAGAATTGTGCAAAATGATGCCACTGGAACAGAACTCTTATAATATAAGTTGGTGTTGAGGAGTAAAGTGAGCTCACCTAATTTATTAGTATCCATTTGGTTCACTTCTTGAGAGAGTCTCTCACTCTCTTTCTTCAATACAACTATTCTTTGTTGGGAGTCCTACAAACCATTACAACAAAGCATTGTGTTAAGTACAGTAAAGATTAATGTACATCTAGCAGTCTAAGAAATATTCATCAAAATGATTATGTGGCATGATTCTTCTACCTTTCATGAAAATCGCAATGAAATATCAAAGAAGATGGTCATAAACAGGGATCCAGATTTAGAGTGAAACTCTTTGAACTATGAATGTCTGAAATATTGCCAAGTAGTAAAATGTGAGAGGTGAGAAGAAATTTTAGGAAAAAGCTGCAAGCAATAAGAAAATAAAAGTTGAACATCTGTTCACAATTTAATTAACTTACAACCTTCTCTGCTTGATCTTCTCAGATTAACATAAATTTGTCGCAAATTTTACATTAGTCCAGCAAGATTTTTTAAATACGAAGATAGATATGGTAATTATATTGCCGCAAATAGTATTCTTCAAATAGTACAATGCACCACCATGACAAGTATGGAGAAACGTCACCTTGATAGTACTACCTACAGTGTGATCTTCCCTTTCTGGAACACTTCATACGCTTATCAGGAAAGTTTGATCATGCCATGGTTAATATTTTGGAGAGACATACAGAAACGTAGTCAAGCCTAAACAACCATGGTGACACTAAACCAGCCTGACATGTCACTGAAGAACACCAGAAAAAAGGTGCGATTACAGGGTATTCACTGTACACAAATTTGGCCAAGTGACCATGATGTCGTAGCCACAACAGGTTAGTAACTTGATATGACAGGGTATCAAGACAGCAAACACAGCCTCTGATTGGCCGATACAGTTCAACCCCTTTTTAAATGGCTACCCTTGGGAAAATGGATAGCAACTGCTTGATGGGGGCTGGCCATTTAATAGAGGTAATTTAAACAATAGATGAGCCCTCATCGGGACTTTCATTACTGGCCGCCTAATAGGGCTGGCCATTCAATAACGGGACGTTTAATGGGGTTCCACTGTATATACAAGTACAATGACAGGCCTTATAGTATCTACAGTATAAGCTCACCTTGATATCACACTGCACTCTGCTGATTTCTGCTAATCTCATTTCGCGGCTCTGGTTTATAAGGTTTAATGACGACTGACACTGCATGCAAGTCTGTCTTTCTTTATCTAATGTCTCTTGAGCTTCATTTCTAGCTTGGTTCTGTATGAGCAAGAAACATCAAATTGTATTTGTAACAAGGATGTACATGTAAGTCAACTCATTGAATAACAAAATTTAATAATGACAAATAACAACAACAACCCTTGCCATTTGGCAACTCAGTTGGCACAGTGTAGCCATGTCCTTGGCTGGGACCTGAGATGATCTTATAATAATCTTTAAAATGTATGTCCTTGACTAAGGGAAGCTGAACGCAAACCAAAATGCACAGCAGAGCACTACACTGTACTTGAAGCTGCATGTACATACAGCTGTAGTATCATCACACCACAAGGGTAAATAAAATTAGTGACAAGTAAAGTTTTTAGAAATCTAATGGGTACTTTATTCCACTTTTCAGTAAACATAAGGCAAAGTACATGTACATTACTTGGTGAGTCAGTGTGTTCCCATTCAACACACAGTATGGAAAAAAACGACATATAACAAAATGCCAGCAAGTAAAACAATAGTCTGAGACAACTTTATACCCACCACTCTAAGTAACTCTTCTTCAAGTTTCTGAACCCTTGATTTAAGGTTGTTAACAATATCTTGTTCCATATTTTTGTGATTTAATAGTTCTTCTTTTTTTCTCTTTTCCCACTCTAGCTGACGCTGCCTCTCTGCTTCAATTTGTGCAGCCTACATGTGAGAAAAAAAAAACACCTCATAATTTGGTTTTTATCACATCGATGCTCTTTCTCACAGGCTCATGTTAACGGTAAAGAATTTTCCTGATGTACAGTGCACGTCCCAAAAATGCTTGTACAGGCTGACTGACCACACATACAATATACATGTATTGAGGAAAATTTATTGAAGCTTGTATTTGAAACTTTAATATAGATTACAAGTAAAACTGCTCAGCAAGCAAGCCTTCATAAATTCCATCATCAACATTTCAAACTCTGAGTGGTGCATGGACAGTTTAATCATCAGGCTGAATTTGATTATAAATAGCACAAAATAATAAAAATAATAAAAAAATTGATCACATAACAAAAATAATAACTCGGAAAGTTCTGTAGTATAAATGTTCTTATGATACTGGGTCCAGTTGTTCAAAACATGAATAACACTTGTCCACTGAATAGCAAATTTAACCAGTGGGTAGTATTGCACTGTACATGTATCTGTCCCTTGAACAAATGGGCCCTTGAAAAGATGTGTAAAATGCACATTGCCACATGAATACCAACCATCCCTCTCAACAACCGCTATGTACATGCATGTCTACACCTTTCTTGTATTTGTAAAGAATCAAAATACACAGTGTCTTACAAGTCGCTGTTGAATCATTTTCTTCCTCAGTGCTTCTTGCTCCCTCTCCATCTCCAGCTGTTGTTGCCGCTGCTTCTCCAGCTCTGCTTGTCGTTTTTGTTCAGCTTCAAGTTTCGCTCGTTGTCTTCTTTCTTCTTCTAGAGCTTCTTTCCTCTCCCTCTCATCCCTTTCTCTTTTCATTTTTTCTTGCAACTCCATACGTCTCCGTTCAAGTTCTAAACGACCTTTTTCAAAGTTGTCTTTCCTCTTGTCTTCAAAGGTGACTGTCAATGAAACCTTATGCAATTAGAATCAGTGGTAAAGTAAACATACTCTATACATGTATGAAGTTCAATGTTATTGTAAAATTGATATTTGCCGGAAGAAAGCTAACCAAATATTTCTTAAACTTTACATTGTACATGTGATCAGTTTTACCCTGACATGTGCATCTCAAGTATGCACTCCTGTTCACTAAACTACTGCAAAAAAGTTAAATTTACAACAAAATGATGATACTAACAAACTCCTTTTCCACTTGCTGTACTGCCTGATCTTGACCGCCCATCTATGCTTCCGCTTCTCTCTCTTTCACTCCCACTTCTTTCTCGTCCACTGTCAGACCTCTCACGGCCATCTGGAACTGGAGCAAATGCATCCTTGGGTTGTCGTGACTGGAACAAAGGGGGAAGAAGCTCTGGTGGTACTGTAGGAGGTAAAGACTGGCCATGCTTTGCTAGCTCGACAAAGTGCATGGCCAGGGCAAATTCTTCAATGTTAAGCTGGCCATCTTTGTCCAAATCTGAAAGGTTCCTGCAATAAAAAATGCCAGTGCAGCGAGGCTAGTTATATGCCAGCTAATTTAAATGTTGTTTCTATAAATTAGAAAAATTACCTTCACATTAAAAACTACATGTAGAAGGAACCACCCAACAATGGTTACTAAGGAAGAAAAACATTAAGAGGAAAAACAAGCCAGATGTGATGTAAGGCACTGTGGACTTCAGAGGAAACAGTCTAATTCAAGCACTGGGTCCAGGGGTGTTGTGTTTTTAAATGGATGAGACACTTTCAATACAGTGTTCTTTCCCAGTGCCTCTTTCCAGTTGGGAGTATAAATGTTCAAAGCCGCAGCATTGGTCAAACCTGAAAAGACTGTAAGGTGGGTGGGGCACTGTTGAGTTAGCATTCAATTAAGGGGTGTTTCAGCATGTTCCCCTAAAATGCCCACACTGCAGCAGAGAATTCAAAGCAAGGTGTGGCTTCCTCAGTCATAATGCATCACAAGTTATACAGATCTGGTCCTTTCAACTGCAAAGGATGAAGATCAACATGGCTTGTGCCCTCCTCAAGTGAGCCCTTCTTGTAGAAGGTTTAAAATAAGTGTAAATGTACATGTGTACTAACCATATTTGAGCTAAAATTCCCTGCGAGAGACCTGATTGAATCAACATGCTTCTAGCTTGATCGCCTAGAGATAGGACACAGAGAATCTGTAAGCTACAAGTAAAATATCAGGTAGCTGGGTTAGTCAATAATACATGTAGTCCTCCCATTTAGAGGTATTACCTGGCCATGTAATTAAAATTTGTCAATACTGCTAAAAGAGCACTTTGCATTGATGATCCTTTTAAACCCATTTGTTAGCTTACATGTTTGACCTGTTTAACGGATAACCACGAGTGGACTTTTTTTACTTGAAAGCCTTGCTGTAGGTCATATTTGCCTGACAATAGTCAAGCTCATGAGTAGTGCTAGTCCTCTAATTACCATATTAGAGCTTTCCATAGATAAGGGAGGTATGTTTGTACATCCAGTACATGTACAAGTGTAAAAAAAAAAACCCTGATCTTGTAGAACTACATGTATATTGTTGCTATAACTACATGTAATAATTATTTCAAGCTTCCCTTTCTGGACTTCTTAAGTTGAACAAGACAATGGAAGTCATGTCCAATGCATGGACAATGTCAAGAAATATCAACAATTTGTCATAGAAAACCAAAAAGCACAAGTACACGTGTATGTAGAGTTTCATGACAATTTGTTGCAAACGATGGAAATATGGGACCCCAAACTTGGTGAATCCCCTACCTGATAAGAAACCTGTCTTCTGATAATCGTGTGCTTTAAACATTTGATTATATTTCAGTCTATTAGTAGGAGTGATAGTTCCATATGGTCCTGCCGCAGTTGGACCAAAACCACCTGTTAACGAATTAGTCCTTCGGACATTAGGTGGAGCAGGTCCAAAACCGCTTGAAGCTTGATTTCCTGGTCCATTGAGAATGGCAGTGCTTGAAGCAGCTGTGTTTAAACCACTGCCCATTCCAACATTAAAAGACAATGGTAATGACGCTGATGGACCACTCACTGGCATTGGTGGTCCAAACGATGACCCAAACACTGAAGATGAAGTTGAAACTGCCGCTCTTGTTTGAGGTGGAGACTGATTGATTCCAGACCATGAAATTCCTGACGTCACATTTTTATGTGGTAATGTCATCATACCGACCTTAGAGAAGCCATTTGAGACTGTCTGGTTTGCTGGTTGTCCCCAGTCAGTTGCAGGTTTGGCTTTTTGACCCAGGAGGAAGGTACTTGGCATGGAGGTCATTTTCAAACTGTTAGGGAGTGATGTTGGCAATTCAACACCTTTTAACTTGCTTTGTATCAGATGAACAGCAATGGTGAATTCCTGCATTGTCATCTTCCCATCCCGATCTAGGTCTGCAAGATTCCTGCAAGAAAAGTTTCCTATAAGTACTTGTGACTCACATGAAAGCTTCATGATGTTACAGGTACATTGTAGCTATATACATGTATTTGTTATTACTGGTTGAGATCAGAATGAGTACTGTCGGTGATTCTTTTCACTACAACTTACTATCATTCTCATTTCCTCCATTATAATAATTATAACTTTACATGAATATCAAGCAATTTCAGGCAAGTTTGTAGTTTCTGCATGAAATTGCCTTGCATCCATATTAAACTTTACCACAATGCAAATAAGAAAAAAACCAACAATGAAAAGGGCCATTAAATCTATCTACATGTCTACAGCTGGACTGTAACTTTTTAACTGTTAAACATGCATAAATTAACACTCACCATATCTGGCCTAACACCATTGGTGGAAGATTTGATTTCAGGAAGTACTTCTTAGCTTGCTCCCCTTGAGGTATTTGATAAAATTTACATCAATCCATCAGTTATTCTTTAAAAATTATAATTATTATCATTATTATTATTATTATTATTATTGTTATTATTATTATTTCACTTTTCTTGACAATCAGTAAAAACAACACACACAGTATTAATAGTTCAGAAACATAATATTTTAAAACTGGCACCATTATGTAACAGATTTTTCTTCGATAAGTACGTAACTACGATTTAAAATTCTAATTTCTGAATTTTCCGTGCACATGTATATATTCCTGACGAAAATGTTTAATTAAAACGATTCTCACGCTTATAATAAACAAAAAATGCTACTGTTACGAACATTGACCGGTCCTGTTTCAAACACAGTTCAATGGATTTCCTGTTTCCTTTTGTTTCCACGAACTGACACTTCAATTCATTGAATATCGTTGGAATTGTACGCTGCATGCAACCAGGATGCAAATATCTCACGCTATCTTACATGCACAAAAAATATAATAAATTTTACCATACATAATGTGAGCCGTGGAGCTTAAACATCAACTTTGATATCATTATCTCTGATCACACCGTGGCAAAGACCAAATATTTTAGATTTAACTCCTGTCGAATGTAGATAGTTTAGCTAACCTGTCAAGAAGCCACTTGATGGGTTCAAACTCTGGAAGGTAGCTTCATGTTTGGTTCTATCTTCGGATGAAATCACCCATGATACTAGAAAATCGGAGAGAGATAAAAGAAACTCGCTCACTTCAAAATTCGTCATAAAACAGCTGTTAGACTATCTATACGACATTATAATGTAGTTATCACCTGGAAGAGAAGGGCCAATCCCGCCTGGACTAGCAGAGGCCATTTGTGACATCTTCGAGTTCACTTCTTTGCCATAACAAAACTTTTCTTCTTAACCGAAAACTTCCACTTTGAGGCGTTCAGATTTCAGTTTAGTACGCCAACTGTTAAAATCCTCATCTTAGGACACCGTCAACTAAACATCCCCAGACTGTTTAAGAAGTCTACACGAACCTATAAAATCTCGACGAGAACCGCAATATATTCCACGCTTATTGTGGAGGGTATAAAGGCGACTTAGTGTTGAAGCGCAAGACAATAGAGTGGCCTTTCAGAGGTCAATTCTTCAGTAGGTTAAGAAGTGGATCCTACTAGAGTCTATGAAACTGAAAGTGTGAAGAAAAACACCAATTAACCTGAATCAAAACGATAATATAACGAGCTCCATGCCCTTCTGGCATTCGAGCGAAACAACACATGTGTGGTGCGCAAGCCCTTGCTAGAAGAGAGGGATTATGGGAAAATTGTTTTCATGAGTAGAGACTGGGCCTAAATTAAATCTAATATGGCTTCCGAGTTGTGCTTTGTGTGAAAATTTATCATTTTAGGCTGTTTATTTTGAAAGAGTTCAATTAGTTTAGATGCCATAATGGGAGGAAAAGATAAACAAAGAACTAAAGGAAACGTAAAGGTATGATAAACAAAGATCGAATATTTTCACATGCTTTGACTTTAATTCAAAGTACAGGAAGTACAGTGCCACCCTGGCAAGGAGCGAGCGGAGGGCACGTTCTCGTTAGTTCTAAGGAAATATAAATTGGAATTCGTATTTCTCAAACCCTTGATTTCTCACAACTCCCTATAACTGAAACCAGAAGTTGTTTCCCTGTCACGTTGTGTCACTGTAATTTTACCCCCGATATATATCTCGATTTATTGAATGAATTTCAACTGATGTCCGTTTCCTGTGGAGTTTCGTCAAGGATTTCATCGTAAATTTTCTGTATCTTTTTGCCATATGCAACCATGATGTACCGACATTCTCAAGCACTCAAAATTCCGTCCAAAAGTATAATTGATACGCAATATTAATTATAGAAGTTGAGCTTAACTCAGGTTTGGCCCAGGGCCCATCAGGTTGGCGTTTACAGTATCTCTAGTTTCTGCGAGATACAAGATGTATGGGTTATTGACCAAGGATGGTCGGTCAAGATGGCTGGATATTGGCCAAGTTCTTTTTTTGCATGTTTATGGACCGNAGCGGGCAAGATAGCTCCATCTTGCCCACTCGGGTAGCCAATCACAGCGTAGGATTTGATTCATCTTGCCCACTCACGGAGCTAGCCATATAATAAACTAGGAGTATTTCTATTCCTTCCTGGAATGGATTTTAGTCCATTGTAGGGTTATCATATCCTCTAGAATTTCCCAGTACCAATTCATACACCTGGGTGGAGAGAGGCACTGTAAGAGTGAAGTTTCTTACCCAAGAACAAAATGCAATGAGGCTGTCCAGGGGCCCATTTCTCTAAGGTCCCAAAAAGTTTTTGCACCCGAAAAGCCCAGTAGCAAAATCTCAAACCCTATGAGTACAGAGGTGTTTTATGCGCATATTCTTAATGTTAACAGAGGTTTTCTTCATACAGGAAGTTTCAGGTGTATACACCTCTTTGTCTTTAAATACCAATTAACCAAAAATGGCTTTGTGGGCCCAAAAAGTTTCCGGGGCTTTCAAGGAACAGGCCCCAGGCCTCAAACCTGGACCACCCAATCAGGAATCCAGTGCGCAGACTATTAGGACACCATGTCTTCCTCCTTATTAATCAGATATTCTTATTATTACCAGCCATCCAGTAGTGGTCGTGCTGCAGCACTGATTTCCAAGGATGGTACTGTGGGCTTTGTTGGTTTTGGAGGACTGCAGGGAAGTCCAGGAGCAAGTAACCTTGGTTATGTTCCAATGGCTGCTGGTGTCAGTGAGGATGTTGATGCTTGTGTTGATGCCGAATTCAGGATGGTGATGAGGAAACTTACGAAGAGAGACTCAGTTACTAAATTGAAAGTAAATTATTAATGTACAGTAGTACTGTTGTAAAATAATATTTTATTTCTTTCAAATGGTTTCTTTTTGTTACTTTTGGACCCATTGAGACCTAAGGCTATATTTAAATTTCATTTTAAGATTTAGTTTTAATCCTAGCCTCTATGCACCCTCAGTTTCTCCCCTACTCAAGACATCTCAGATTTGACCAAAAATATTCCAAACAAGCTGTTTATAATCATGTATACATTAAAAAGAAGCAAAACAAATATATAGTGCATGAAAGCACAACGCTTTTCACATTATATAATTATTTTAGCAGATTTCATGATCCTGATGTTGAATCAATTTAACTTTGGTCTCATTATTGATGGATTTTCTTTTTTTTTCTCCTTTTTTTTTTCAGGCAGTACAGGAGTTCACTGGCTTATGTAAGAATTCAACTGTTGATGCTGTGGAAAGTGCACTTCCATTTTGGCCAAGACTATTCAACAAACTGGCTATGGTAAGATCAGATGATACATGTGCTCTGATACAACATTCTATTTACATAAGTAAAATATTGTATCAGAGTACCTCACATATGGCTTCTTGTAGGTTGTAAATCATTTGTGCAATTTTACTTGTAATGCATGGGTTACTAAAAAAATGTGTAATTATTAATGTATTTTTTTTAGTATCTTGAGCAACTGATCTGAAACAAAAGGGTAACGCATGTACAATGTATTTGATCCACTTTCTATATTTAAATGAAATCAGTTGAAAATAAACACTGCTCTCGCTTGCTAACTCTACCAGGAAGACATGCTTTTAACCAGATTAATCCATCAGTTGAAAGTATTTACAAAAAAGTATTAAAACAAATGAAATATAGCCAGCTAGCCTGCTACAGTGCTAGTTCATGAAAGCATACATGTATATAGGGGTTTCACTAAGGGCTTGGCATCTAGCAAATTGACTGGCTGTGAGGATACTGTAATTTTTCCTGCCTGATTTGACCATCTACGATTATGTACAGAGAAAAGTTTTTCTTTTAAAGATGTTCAGCTCAGATTGTATGCCTGCCTGTGAAAACTGATTAATTGCCTTCCTGTCAAAAATGTTAATTGAAAAATGAAACCCCTGTGTCCATGTATGCTCCTCTGATCTTTCATATTGTTATTTTAGCATAAAATAAAGGTTAATGTGGGCAAGCAACCTTAATTTAGATGAGCCCACACTCATCTCTGTGGTCTTCGACGGCACATGCCCTTCCATATTTGGTAAGCGCTATTTAAGGATAGCACGCCGTGCAAGTAATCAGTTTCTCCCTTCTCTGAGTCCTGCAAGTTGTTACTTGGCTTTATACAGTATACCCATCTTCTTTTTGAAACAAATTGTTTTCACAGTACAGTGTAGTAATGTTAGAGTGCACATAGCACTACAGATCAAATCAACATATGCCACTTTCTAGCTCATTCCCAATACTGTTAAGTGACTTGTAGAAGTCATCTTTGTTTTTGGTACATGAAGATTGCATTATTGACATGTGCTAGGCTGTGATGATACATGTAGCTCAAACACAAATCTCTTTACAGGATGTTGATCACAGGGTGCGAGAAGCCACTCAACAAGGCATGGAACAGCTGGTTCTCAGAGTCGGTCGTAATCTTGCACCACACTTACGTTATGTGATTGGTCCTTGGTTGTGTACACAGTATGATACCTATGCTCTGGTGGCATCCTCAGGAAAGAAATCATTCCAGGCTGCATTCTCAGAAGAAAAACAAGCTGGGGTCATCAAGTTTTGCAGAAAGGAGCTGTTTGAGGTGTGCTTGTGCAGTAGAAACAACAGAATATATAGAGGATCAATATTCTTGGGACCGGAATGGTCATGTGCACGTCTTGAGCAATGTTGGTTAAAAAGAGACTTTGTTCTAAGTATACAAACCTTTATGATTGGAAAAGATCTTCTGATCAGAAACTTTACCCAGGCCTATACTTTAAGAAAATATTGGACTGGCAATTCATTGCCAGCTGCTTTTAATTTTTGACCTTTAAGCAACTATATGTACATGTAGTGTGACCTTAATTAGTTGTCTGAATTCAATTCTTTCATCAACTAATTGTTGTAATTTTGTATTTTTACATCCTGACAGTTCTTGCAGGACAATATATTAACACAAACATCTTCGACTCTCTCTGATCCAAAGTAAGTGAATGAATTTTGTGGAATAGTTGTTTTGGGCATTTGAAGTACATGTATATTCGAAGCTAAATACAAGGTGCACATCTACAAATACTTATACATGTAGCTTGGACTCAATGCATTTATTATTTAAGCCCCTAAAAAATGCATGCATAACCCCAAAGTGTGTCACTGCTGCAAAATGCCACTTGTCTAACCAGTGTTGGCTTGAGTCTAATTTCATTAAGCCACATGGCAAATGAATGCCGCTGGTCTTATATTACTTGGCTTACTGTATTTGCAAAGTGAATTGAAACATAACAAAATGTAACAATTATGTAATGTAACGTAACACTTTGAAGCAAAGCAAAGGGAAATGACAGGAAGCATCAGGAATGTGCTGTTTCAGAAATTACAGGCCAGAAATATTACACAACAACAACAATTAGGTTTATTATGTACCGTAAACTTACTAAAGCTATTAATTGTACAATAATAATTATTAAAAACACATTCAGTAGCTGGTCACCCAAAGTAACTTTTACTAACTTTTGTCATGAGGTTGATGTCAAATTTACTGCTCTGCACACTTCAGAATCTGTCGTTGCTTGCTATAATTGCCCAGAAGTCATCATCGCATCATGGAATATTTAAGAAAAGCCTTTACAATAAATTTTATTGCAAAGACACAAAGAAAATATCATTGTGGTCAACAAAGAGCCTTGTTTTGCTGAATACAGATTTTACACGGTTTTCCTCTTTTTGGTTATTGTCCAGAGAAATCACCTGACTTTTATATATGAATTTAACCTCATAATTATCTTTTATTGACCCTCATTTCATTATTTTTTTTTTGTACAATACAATAAGCCTTTATAATGATTGATGAAAAAAAACCCTTGCAACTAGATTTGTTTCTGAAGAGGAGAGAGAGGCCAAGTATAACCGAGTGCTTTCATCCTCCATCTTGGTTCTTGGTCACCTGATACATGTGACATCATCAGACAAGGAAGATGCAGAAATGGAAGAGCTTTATCTCAATGTACTACGACAGAACAAGTTTTGGAAATATGCAAGACACAAATCTCCTAATGTAGGTGTAGAACTAATTCATCCTTGTAGTAAATATTATCATTTCATCATCAAGTAATGTATTGGGTAGTTCAGATGTTTGAAAAGAAAGATAAAATCATCAAATACAGGATATTGCTTGATCCACACCTTTATATTTTAGTTCTGTTCTGAGAAAGGTCATCCCATGAAAGCATGATTTAAGCACAAACAGTAGCCTTTGGTTGGTGCAAAATTATATGCTTGAGGACATAATCTGATATTCTGAGAAGCGAACAGTGTTCTGAGTCTAATGAGAACGAAATTGACATTTTCAGTAAATATCAAATGAATGTACTCTGAAACTATTTTGATAACTTTTTTGTATTTACTTCTGTAGGTGCGAGCTGCAGCGTTTTCTACAGTTAGCATTGCATGCGGGTCACTTCCCTCTATGATGTTATCCCTTAGCTCTCAGGTTTCTCCAGCTGTGTTATCGTCACTGGATGATTCTGATCCTGCAGTGTGTCAGCAGCTTTGGAATGCTGTTTTATCTGTCTTGAAGAATATCACAGTAAGGAATTAGCTTTCCTCTAGTTTTAATTAAGGTCATAGCTCACTTGTTTATTTAGGTCTCGACTACACTAATCCATTTTCATATGAAAATGATGCGTTTTGATGCGTTTTCCTCTATCATCCACACTAAAATGACCTAAAACTCTCAACTGATGTAAATAGTGCTGAAAAAAGGGTCATATACTGTCATTTCCATCAGCGTTTTCAGTTTTTTTAGTGTGGAAAATATGCAAAAATGCATCAAAAGTATGCAATTTCATATGAAAACAGATTAGTGTGGACAGGTGAAACAAAACCAAAACCCTAGTGTGACAGGTCGCAAATATTTTGCTTCGTTTTCATTGAGACAAAAACAGATATGTTTGAAAACGCATAAGTGTGGTCAGGAACTTAGTAGGAGATTTAAGTTAGTTTCCTAGTTAGTACGTATCAGACACAGGTGTTTAATAAGATTTTGAGAAGAAGGGTATTACCATATAGGTTGGTGCACCTGGGTGCAAAAGCTTAATACCTTGAAAAAAAAAAAGTGATGAACCTGCTTCACTGTATACTTTGTCTGTTGCACAGTGTCTGCACGTCATTATTGTTGTCATTATTAATTTTTAACATTTTATTCCAATTAGGACTGCTGGAAGCAAGTTAATGTTCGCAAAGCTGTTTTGCCAAAGTTGTGGTCCGTCTTAAAAAATGGTGGCAGTGGCTGTGCTACAGTCATTTTTCCTAACCTGCTGCCTTTCCTAAGCAAAGTACCTTCAGAGGTTTGTGATTGATTTTTTTTCTCTTTTACTTTCACATCTATTCTCTCCAAGTGAGATAGGCATCATTTAATGAAAACTTGAGTCTCCGTCAACATCAAACCAGCTTCATATCATGTCTAATTTACACTTGCAGGTCATTGGCAGTGATTTGGGTTTCTACAAAGAGTTCTTTACTAGCCTACAAGAGGGTCTGATGAAGGAGCGTGTGCAGAACAGCCCAAGTGAATGTTCAGCAGTAATTGCAGCATTTATGGAGTGTCTGAGATTTTGTCTTCTGTGTTGGTTTGATGGTGATGGGCCAGATCTGACAGTACAAGAATACTTGATCAAAGAGCAGGTAGGAGGTACTGACAAAAGGTTGATTTTAAGGAGTTTCATCATCATTTGATTATACATGTATCAATTGAGCAGAAACTAGTACTGGATAGTCGTGTAATACTCCTCTGAACACACTACCTACATTAAGCAATAGTGGTCAAGACACTTAATTCATTTACTCTCAATGCCTCTTTATACCAAGTACGGTGTACATGTAACATCTACACTGTAGTTGGGATGGTACAGTTGCAATACTGTAGGTGACATCATATTACAGACCTGGCCNTGTTTGGAAAATTATCAAGTTGTGCATTGTTACCGAACGACACGGTCAGTGTTGTTTTTACAGCTCTCTTTATACAAGAAGAACACTTTTTGCAATCAGATAGCATTGCCCAGTGTGAATAATATGTTCAATTCACTCAACTTCTAGCATGACCAATTAACGTCTGGAAAAAAAAATTATACCATCTTTTTATTAGATTGTATCCAAGGTTCCGATTTGAAGAGTTCTCTCTTGTTCCGTACGTGTTGCTCAAGAATGAAAAATCAGGCAAGGGAGAACCTCTGAATGTGTTCTTTTCCTGCCTGCCTGTCTGTCTGTCTGTCAGTCAGTCTGTCTCTTCGTGTATCCGTCTCTCCGTCTGTCTTCAGTCTGTCTATCTAGGTCGTCTCTCTGTCACTGTGTATGCATGTTTGTTCGTTTTCTTTCTTTTTTTTTTTCAAGCAAAATCTCACCTTTTGCGTTGATTCTTGCAGTTGCCATGCTGAAAAATGAACTTGTGGACCAGATCTGTCAACATTTCCTCAGGATTCTGAGACAAACCGAACAAGAACATGCACAAGAATTGCTGCTGTTGCTGAGTATTTTACAGATGTTTCTTGCTCACTGTGAAAAGAATGTAAGCCCCTTTATTTCTTACTACTTCATAATTCGCACATATTTTCTATCAGAGTATAAAGACTGAGTAACAAAGGTTTTGTTCCTTTAATTCCTTTAACTATCGCTCTGTTTTTATTTTCAGCCTGGTGATATCGTACCTTCAATCGAAGAACTTCTTCTAGCTGTCTTTCAACTGCAGTTGACAGACGTGGTCTCCTATTCATGTAAGACACAGAATCCTTACCAACAGGTTTATGGATACGCATATGAGATAAGCATGAGGTGACCTAGAGGCAGGCTTTTAGCCAGATGGCCGTCCAGGTGTCCTGTGGACGGGCCACTTTATAAAGAAAATTGTTTTATTTTTCATATATTGCTTTATAAATTGTTTATTTGAGCAGGCCCTATAGCGCATTTTGGACGCCCACTTTTCGAGTCCTGGCTAAAAGCCTGCCTAGAGGTTGGCGCATTGAACTTGGATGGTCTGGGTTCCAGCTCTGGCCAGGCCATTGTGGTCACATTCAGGGCAAGACACGTGACTTTCACAAGGTATCCCTCCTTCCGGGAGTGTAAATGGGCACCAGCAAATTTTTGAGGGAACCCGACAACATGTTGGGGAAGGGGTGACGGGTGTAACCTGCGATAGACTAGCATCCCAGGGGAGAGGGGTTAGCGGTACTCCACGTCGCTTCATGCTTCAGACCTCTAGGTACCGTGAGTGGCGATAAGAACTCTCATTAATAGCATTTGAGCTTATTAAAGAAGCTTGTATATATATCTTGTAGAGGCACAATGGCCTATCTAAACTTCTAATCAAGTATTTGGAGCTGCATGTGGAGCTGGAGAGTTCCTTCCTTCCACGCTCTTTGTTCTTGGAAGAGACCTTTCTCCACTCTCACTGTCTCTGTTCTATCCCTGTCTACATGTATGAATACATGTAGGTACTGGCAAAATGTTAGTCAAGGGCAAACCGCTGGGCTCTGAAAAATCGCCCATGATATGAAGGATTTTATTAATTGCCTGTTTTGTCTTTATGTTTCCAGCTACTGTGACACAGTCCTTAATGGAAACGTGGCAAACTGGATTAAGAGTGTTCAAACAATTTTCCTCTGAAATGGACTCTACCCCTTGCCAGACACTTCTACTTAAAACAGCTGTGCTCATTCAAGAAAGGTTGGAGAAAGTCGAAACACTTCAAAGGTACCTTAATACCTTACTGTCTGTAGTGTATTACATAATCTAGAATTCTAGATCACGCCCTCAGGAACTCGGACGGAACAATCGGTGTAAAGGGCAAGTTTTGGCAAATCTTTCTTTCACCACTTGTGAAGACCGGTGTTGTTACTAAACCAGTCAAAACTAACGTGGACATTCGCGAAAATAAAACTCGAATACTTTTGCCTCAGTTAATAGTATAAGTAGTAATATAAATGTGCCTTTGACAACTTCTCAGAGGAAAACTCTCAGCCTTCAGAAAAAACAAACGCAACATTAATGCATGTTTTTCCATCGTTATTCTTTCAGTATTCTTGGGGCATTGGTTGGGGTTTGCTGTCTAAAATCGTTTGTCTGAACTCTGAACTGCATTGTTTTGTTCTTCGTAGAGTGGATAACCTCGCCACCATAGCTGTTCAACTCCTAAAGGATGCGACTCACCTGTCACCTGCTGAGGAACCAGATGGCGAGTCCTTGTCACAGCGAGTGTTCATGGCCTTGACACCAAGTGAACACCAGTTGAACTTTCTCAGGAACGAATATTCTAAGGTGAGTTTTAATACCTAATCGCACTTTTTTTGGTTGGTACGCTTCGGCGGCATATCATGTGAGTTTGGTGAGGCCATGTTTCTCATTTTGGAGAGACGTAGTCGAGCTACAGAAAATCCGCTGCGTGGGTATTAGGTTGTTAATACAACTAATCTTTGAGTTTCTGGTAGAAGTGCCGTAGACATTTGGCTTCGCAGACTTCTTGGGAGCTTTTTGTGTTCGCACTTCGGTTGGAATAGTACAGAACGAGATATCTCTTTAACGTTGCGTATTTTTTCTATTACAGAGTCAGTGGCTGTTGGATCCACTTATAGAGAGAAAACTACCAATCACGTCGGACTTTCAAGATCACCTTGGCGAATGTGACAATATACGGTCCACCCTTACGAACCATCAAAAAATGATGGTGTTCTCGTCGAGTCTGCTCAAAGGGATCCTCTCAGATTCGAATGCATCGACGCCGGGCTTGAAGAGTGAAGTTGTAACAAGAGATTGCTTTGTCCGATTGTTGTTGGAGATAATTTGGGTTCGACATTGGTGCATCTGTGTTTTCGGATGCAGCGACACCACAGAGGTAACGCCAGCAGAAGTCCTAAACTAACCTGATTCCAGATTCCAGTAATTTGGTTCGTTGTTAGCTTAAATGAGATATTAAGTTTTTAGCTTTTTCAATACTTGCAACTGCAACATTGAAATCTCTGAACATCTCGATTTTTGTCTCGTCGCTAATCCCCACAAACTACATGGAAAGTACCTGTGTACATGGCGTACAGGCTCCCGACTGTGGCTCTGGTCTAGGGCGGATGGACGCAACCTAGACTATTCTGGGGAGAAAAAGCTCACGAGTGCTCCCCGAGGCCACACTCGCCGGCTTTTGTTCGCGCTCGCTCGTCGATGTTTTCCGCCCTATACCCAATTAGGAGCCTACTCACAAGCTAAATCAGAATGTAAAGTAAAATATTATGGTCCAGCGCTCCAATGTCTAGTCGATGGAGTTGAAATCTGAGCTTCAGACTTAGAGATGTCGTCTTCTCGTTTTGCTAAAATCAGTCAATAGATCAATCAATCAGTCAGTCAGTCATTCATTCAATCAATCAATCAGTCAGTCAGTCAGTCAGTCAGTCAGTCATTCAGTCATTCAGTCAGTCAATCAATCAATTTATCGATCAATTAATCAATCAACCAATCAATAAATAAACAAACAAATTTGGGCTCAGTAGGCTAAAAGCTATAGGCATATCATTAATATGTTTCTTTTCTTACGGTGATTTTGAACAGAAAGGTGCCGCATACAGCGACATTAGTAACCAGACTGTCTCCAATCTTCTGGTAAAACTCCAGCAGACTAGTCATCATCTCTTAGAGCACGTCAAAGATAAACAGTGGAGTCAAGCGCTCCTCGCGGATTCACTCACTCGGTCAAGGACTGAAGGCTTCCTGTGGTGCGTTGTGCTTGGAGGCGTCTTAGAAGACCTGCACCGACTGGGCGTGCCATATGAACCCACTGTTCTGTTAGCTGAGGTTCAATCTTTAGCGAATCTAGAAGAAAAGGAATGTCAGACTTTTAATATGTTGATATCTCACGTGAATGGTATATATGAACTGAAAGTCATTACTGAGCAGTATACGCGACTATTACGCGAAGAGAGCGACGAAGGCGGTAAGTGATATATAGGCGGTAAGTGATATATTCATTAAGTTCTTCTTTAAGAAATCGATACATTTTCAAGTAGGAAGGTGATGAGAATACAGAAATCATCAGCTAGGAAATACAGACTGACTGAAATGATGACTGTCTTGTTGTAGTCAGTAAAATGTAATTCGTCTTGAAGATCAGAACATTTCCAGATTTGTCCTGACCTTGTGTACCCTTTCTTAGCTCCCCACTGTTTCTTCTTCTCGTAAGCACAGAACAACAGAATCATCTAAAAATTTTTAGCTCACTTTTGAAGGCACTCCGTCAGTGCAGTCGTATCTTGAAAATTTATCCTTAATTCAGTATATGCTCGTAATCCTCCTGGATCTTCCCTCATCCTTTACCATCCTCGTATATTTTTGGTTTCTTGTTATCTCTCATGTGTTTTTGTTCCCTTTCGGGATTTCCTACCTGATTTTGTTCCCCCCGAAAAAGACTTAAAAATAAGTGTTTGTTACAGCTTCTCCATCTTAACCCTCATTAGCTTAAGAACCTAGAGAAATAAGGTTTTCAATTCTTCCTCACACCTATAACCCCCCGCCCCCCGCAGCCCTGTTTTTTACCCCTCGTTTATGTCTCCCCATCCCCTCCACACCGCCTCCAAAGCCTACCTTCTCTAACTGTGATTCGTTTGAATGTGACTGTTCATAATACGTTGAATAACTGGCCTGACCTTGTATCCAGGATTTGCCCGCGTGCTGGCTGTTATTGATGGCTCTCTGCACCAGTGGTTCAAACGAACCGAAGGAGTTGAGGAAGCACTGCTTGAGTACCAGCTAACGCTAACAGAGATTCTGGACGAGCTGGTGGAGTGGAACAAGACACACGACAACCTTTTGCTCATCAACAGCCCTTTGTATGACGCCTCCATGAGCGTGTTTAGTCTGAACTTATCCCTCATCAGGATTCTTGAGATGGCTGTTCTTCACTGTTCTGACAAGATGAACAGCAAGCACTGGGATTTTATGCTGTGTAGTTTGGCTGGTTGGCTCCAGGTAATGAAATAATAATAATAATAATAATAATAATAATAATAATAATAATAATAATAATAATAATAATAATAATAATAAAAACTTTGTCTGGCGAGGCTGGCTCATGACAGTCTTGCAACGTACAAACTTGTAGCCTTAGGATTCCCGATCGAATTGGAGCTACTGTACTGTTCACAGATTGGTCCGCTCTACTCTATACGGTTGGTCATTTCAACATTTTAGGTCATGTGAGCCAAAGGGTTTGCTGCTAGTACTAACCTTACTCTACACCCCTGCAATCAAATTTGGCATCAATAAAACGCCTTGCAGTCAAATCTGCCATCAATTAACAGCCCTTTGACTTTTGGATCGGATGAAATCGAACTCAGTGTGTTTTCAGACAAGTGAAAGCTGTTCAACAATTCTACACCTAACTATAAATTTTACAGTCAAACTCTTCGTATTCGGAAATCCTAGGAGCCAAAAATATCTGTGTAGTAATGTTGAACTGACTAATCTGTGCACAGTAGAACTGCAGAAATGCGTTCGTGTTTTGTTTTTCTTAACTGTGCACTTTTTGTCTTTCGACAGACCTGCGAGGAAAATTGCCCAATCCTAACAACGTCGTTAAAAAGTGTTGCTCTCTGTTGCCAAGTTTGTTCACTTTTTTGCATCGTAGCGCGGTTCTTTCAAGAGAATGCGTCAAAGCTTTCCAAAATCAGCGACGGTGGAAACTTCAGTGAGGCATCGCATGAAGTAGAGAGCGTATCTTCAGCGACCGCTGATAATGCAGTGTTTCCGCCAAATCTATTGGCTGAATGGCAGGAGTTCTTTAGTGGCTCTCTGTTTAATACCGTGTTGCGGTTGTTCATGTTTCATGCAGGTGAGAGGCGAGTAGGAAGGCTTGGTCCTTTCCAGAGGAGGAAGAGGGGAGGGGTGATGGCTTTGCTGTTGTCGTTATTGTTGTTGCTGCTGTCATTTTTTGGCGGGGAAGAGGGGGTGGGGGCGCGGGGGGGGGGGAGGATAAGGACATGTCGCGACAGGATCAGAACGAAGTTATATTTGAGGACTGTTTACCTATGTGTCTCTCGTGATTTCCAGCTCAATGCCAAAGCTCGCATTTTGAAGTCTCATTTTGGTCGACCCGTATCGGTGAGTCACTTGGTAAAGCTGTGATCTACACTCCAACGGCCCTTTTAAAGGAACATAATTTCGAGGGGCCACCACCTGCTACCGCTGAAGAATCGTCAAATATGCCCCAGTGGATCGATGACCTCCTGGAGAAGTGTTTGCCTCTTCTAAAGTACAATCTCCATGATCTTCAATTTGCTGGCTATCATCTACTTTCCAAGTAAGTGAATAACTATCTTTATTATATGGCCAGCTCCGTGAGCGGGCTTGATGAATCAAATCCTGCGCTGTGTTTGGCTACCCGAGCGGGCAAGATGGAGCTATCTTGCCCGCTCGGGACTAC